TATTTGCTGGATAAATTTTCTTTGAGAAGAAAATGATCCAGCTTTATCCAGGCCATAAGAACAAAGGTCATTTTTAATGTGGCAAAAGTAGGCCTTGCTTTTGGCTAAGTTTTGTTTAAATCATTGGCTGGCCATATGCCGGAAGCAAGGACCAATCCCCTGCTGAATTAAATGTAGATTTTCAACCCTCCTGATTCAGGAGCTCCACATGCCAGTGGTCGCTCTTGCTGTAAACCGAATCTTGTTTGCATCTGGACACGCCATGGTAGGGCTGATGAATGTGTGGCCTTTCAAATTTGTTGGATTGCAGCTTCCATCAACCCCTGCCAACATGCCAGTGGGAAGAGGTGATGGCTGCTGTAGCTCAGAAGTATCAGGGGAGCCATATCTTTCCCATCCTTGCCTTACATCTGCCCCATTGTTCCTATAACAACACTGGGTTTGACTGTATGGGTTTGTTTAACAAGTAGTTAAACTGTTTTAACATGGTTAAATGTTCTGAACATTGTAATTTCCAGATTTCATTTGATTTGCGAATAAGTGACCACTATAAAGGGAATATATTATGTTATAGGTTAACACAAGTGTGATGTCTCAAGAAATCATATTGCTAAAGCCTATTGTTAGTCCCAAACAGAGCAGACCCAGGCCCCTTATATCCCAGGATCTCATCCCAGATTGGGTTGTTGTAGGTTTTTTCGGGCTGTATGGTCACGTTCTAGAAGCATTATCTCCCGACGTTTCGCCTGCATCTATGGCAGGCATCCTCAGAGTTGGTGAGACCTCCCAACCTCTGAGGATGCCTGCCATAGATGCAGGCGAAACGTCAGGAGATAATGCTTCTAGAACATGGCCATACAGCCCAAAAAAACCTGCAACAACCCAGTGATTCCAGCCATGAAAACCTTTGACAATACATTGTTCCCATACTATCTGTTTTGAAATGGATTGTATGAGTCCACACTGCCAGGAAGCCTGGGATAAGTAGATATTCTGGTATCAGATTCTGGAATATAGGGACAGTGTGGAAGGACCCCCAGTGAATAAATAGTACCTTGAAAAATCAACACTTATGTGACTTAATTTGCTCTAGTGGACTACTCTTAACAGGGGATAACAATAAGGTTCATGCCAAAGGCTCCATGATAACAAAAGATCAGAATATACAGGTTAAGAAGTACCCATACTTAAGCAAAAATAAATGGATGACTTGAACAAAATTAAAATGTCAGAGACATTTGAATTACTCTAAAAAGAATTGTGTGAAACTTAGTAAGCAAAAAAAAAAAAACAAACCTTGATATGATGATGTTTTCTATTGGCAATGATTAAAACAGATGATGCTTCCAATTTGTCTATGATGTTTTTTAAAAAAATGTTGTTAAAAGGTACTTTTCTATTGTAATTTTCTAAAAATAAAAGCAATGATTATAACTTATCTCCATAGTGGAGTTGTTTCGACATTGTTGTTGCATGCCTTCCAAGTTACTTCCGATTTATAATGGCCTTAAAGTGAAAGTGTCAAAGGGTTTTCTTGGCAAGGCTTGTTCAGAGGGGGGTTGCCTTTGCCTTTCCCTGAGGCTGAGAGAGCGTGACTTGCCCAGGTTGACCCAGCGGGTTTCCCATGGTTAAGTAGGAATTTGAGTCATGGTTGTCAGAGTTCTCAGCATTTAAACCACTGTGTCCTGTAATGTCAAGGAGGCACATGTTACTTGTGCTAATGAATTGTTTTTGGGATTGGTGTCTTTGGCAGGGTTCTTTATGTGAGATGCACTTACGGCCACTACTTGCTAGTACACCTAGCCCACTCTGAGTTTGGCTTAAGTGGGCCACAATTTGCCCTTGTCAGCAAACTATCCTAACCATCCATTTGGCATTTTCAGGAGCTATAGGATCCCAAGTAAAGGAAGAAGACAAATACTCCCTTTGCTGCAAAAGTCTCTGTAATCCAGCCGAGGCTTCTGAGCCCAGAATGGCAAGTAGCTTTTGCCAAAACCCTCCTCCATCCTCAGTTATAATCATGGATACTAATCAAGCAGTTTCTGAGATCCAAACAAAGAGACAAGCCAATTCTACTGGCATTGCTAGATGCAGAAAGAAATAATTGACTAACAGTAGCTGGTGATGAAAAATGCCTGTTTTCATAAAAGAAATGTCTGCTGCTAGTGGTCCCTTTTGAAGAATCCAGCCCATCGTAGTTGCTGCTACCTGAATGTAAGCCATGGAGCTGTAAGTAACCAGATGCCACTGCCATTGTGATTGCTATGGTTTGTCCAACCTTCAAATCCCTCTCCATCAGCAGGTATCAAGAGCCTGGCAGTCCCCCGGGTCCTCCTACCATCTGCCTGCACTTACAAGATCTGACAGGGAAAACCAAATGGGCATTCGCTACACAATTTATCTAAGCTTGCTTGCCTTTCTCCCCTCCATTCTCTAAAAGCCAGGAAGAATTGTGATGAATTATAGATCAAATGCATTACAAATTGCTTCATGTCAGTTCTCTCAGGCAACCATGCAAAATTCTGCTGGTAGTTCCTTCTCATTCCCTCCTTTTTCTCTCCCGGACCTATAGTTATAACACCAGGGGATGGGATTAAATTACTTTTAGATTACACCAGTTTGTAAAGCAATATCCAAGCAATAGCTTTTTAATAATACCAAGCTGGCAAAAACTTGATACTATTAACCATGCATTTAAATCAGTGGTTCCCAGCCTGTGGTCCGTGGACAACCAGTGGTCCCCAAGAACTAAAATATGGTTTGTGACATCACCGTTACTACACCTTTACGAGGCAATGAGGTTGTCGGGAGTGGAGAGGCTGACTACCCACAAAAGGTGCACCAAGAAGTCTCCTTACTACTGCTTCTCCTCCCTCCCCTTGAGCAAAGCTATTCCATGTGGCACCTGGAAGTGTGGGGTGCCTTGATGTCTTTGTTTTTAGGCCTGCTCCTGGAATTATTTGAATTACTGATTCAGAAAATTGTATTGGACCACACCAGCTCTAGATTGTTAAATATGGTTTTTTGTGAGCAAGCAGATTGCGACTACTGGAAGGCATGTATTCTGCATCAGAAACTAGAGCTGATGTGTTCTATCCAGTGCAATTTTCAGCACCCCAAATAACCAAACTAAATCTAAAGTTGACCAAAAACTAATTCACAATCCTTTTGGTACTAATGTTGGAGAGTGGTCCCTGGTCAAAGTGGTCCCTGGTCAAAAAAAGGTTGGGAACCACTGGTTTAAATCATGCTAGCCACAGACCACACATTATGTTCATGCAAAAGCAGTTGTGCTGGTTGTGGATTGCAATCTCCTACATTCCTCAGAGGATATATATTTGTATTAGTCATCTCCTGCCACATGCTACTGTGGCCCAGTCTGTGTATATGTGCTTTGTGTGTGTATATGTGTATATATGTGTGTTTGCATATGTATGTGGTTTTGTGCATGCGTTGTAATGTATTTTTTTTTTTGGCTTTTTAAGTCCCTTCTGCTGTGTTTTTCAGTGTTTTTATGAGTGAAGGACATACATTGGGTTGTTAGGTGTTGGCCTGATACGTGTATTGTGTCCAAATTTGGACACTCGTTGGCCTGATACGTGTATTGTGTCCAAATTCAGTGTCAATTCATCCGGTGGTTTTTGAGTTATGTTAATCCCACAAACGAACATTACATTTTTATTTATATAGACGAACATGCTTATTTTAAGATCTTTTCTACATGATCCTCATCTACTGCTTGACTGGCAATGGCCATCACTATCAGAAACTGCCAACACTACTTTGGGGGCGTGGCTTGGAGTAAAAGTTCTCTCTCTAACTCTGGTTCATTGTGGAAGAGAAGAAATTCACAGAAAAGCTGGTTTTGGGGTTCCAAAACCCGTAGTTTAAACCATTTGGGCATAAAAGGAAACAAATGATTATTCACAGGAGCCAATATTTGTCTTGGTGACCCACTAATCCAGAAGGAATCTGCCTCATTTTTAAGATGAAAAACTCTAAGGAATAATGTCCTCCCATTGGTATAATAAATTGACTTAAAAGAAGAGTGAACATTGGGAATCTCTTCAATTGAAGGCAATTTTATTTTACTTATCGCTTGTGTCTTTAAATTTGGCTTGACTGTTTAAAAGCAAGTTTGCCAGTTGGCTAAGACCCCACCTTTTCATATCTTTCATTTTGGTCTGTGGGGCAGGGAGGTAAAGGCCGATTTAATGATTACTGTTACACAACCACTGGAATCCTCCCCTATTAAACATACCCAACCCTGTCTACCCTCCTTGCTATAACTGGATTTCCAGTGTACCATATTGGTCACCTTTCTCTGAGCATGTTCCCACCTATCCATATCCTTAAACTGATGCCCAGAACTGAGCTCTACTCCAAGTGAAGTCTGATCAAAGCAGAACACAGTGATACTCATACTTCTCTTAACTTAGATAATAAGTATCTGTTAATGCAACCGAAAACTGCATTAGTGGAAGAAAAGAGAAACTAAATAAAACAACAAGGAGACCTGGAAAAAGTTTAGTTCTGTAAAAGTTAAAAAATACCAACATTGTCCTGACTGTATGAACTTTTAAAAAGTTAAAAAATACCAACATTGTCCTGACTGTATGAACTTTTAAAAAGTTTAAAAATACCAACATTGTCCTGACTGTATGAACTTTTAAAGAGTATACACCTGGATAGTGGTGATTTGGATTTCGGGTCCTGTCATCGAATTTGTATATCAAATGGGATGATCCAGCAAAGAAGATACCAGCTTCTATAGTCTTAGCCATTCCTGTATAGGTGACCAATTGAACTTTTTAAAAAAAATAGTGTAGATCTTCAGATAGTCCCAAGAACACAAAGCTTTGAGAAATTTAAATATGGAGTCTCATCTATGTTGTAAACATGGGACTTATTTTAAGTTGTATCCTACCACTGGGTTTATGGACTTATTTTTCTATTTCCAAACGAGGGAAGCATGTCAACAAGAAATATATTAAAAAGTATTTTTCTGAAATATTTTTTATTATAAACTGGTTTTTATGACATAGATAAAACAAATACTTGGTTTTATCTCTAAGTCAACACCAGCTGAATAGAAGATAATACCCACAAAACCCCAAAGATTTCTTCAAGAACGTGAACCTTAATATTACATGCTAAATATGTTTACCCCAGTAACAAAAGCCTACCAAGAGCAAGCTGCCCTTGATCCAAGTTTGTGTTAAATACAAATAAGCACGTCGATGAATACTTTATCTTTACTTTCAACAGCTGTTTCTTCCTGTCTGCTTCAGGACTGGGATGGGGAAGAACCACATCACATGTCCTTTGGAGCAACAGAACAGCTGCATCAATGCTCTCAAAGAGTTCGTTCCAGAAGACACTATTTGCTAGGAACCACATCAGAGTAGTCCTTCAATACACCAGCCAAATGGTCATTGTGAGTCTTGAATCTCCGTTTCTTCTGAGAAGCAGGCTTCCTCCTCCTCTGAATAGGCACCTAAAACATGAGAAATAAAGGTAATTGAGATATTACAAAAATACCTTGCAAACTCTGCTTATAAGACACTCAAAAGCAGAGCCTGAAGGCAATAGCTAGTCTGGATCCAAGGTTCCACATTCCAGTTTAAAGGGAAAACAGCCTCTCAAAATCTCTCTTGGATTCGGACAAGTGTCAGAAGAACTAGCATTCAGTTCAATTTTTTTTTCACTTCATGCCTCACTCTCTTTGTTGTCTTCCTCATAAAGAAAGCAACATAGGCTGGATGGCCATCTGTCAGGGGTGATTTGAATGCAATATTCCTGCTTGGCAGGGGGTTGGACTGGATGGCCCATGAGGTCTCTTCCAACTCTTTGATTCTATGATTCTATGATACTGAAAGAGCAGGGGTTCCTGTTCATTTTGCAGTGGCTCCCAATCTTTTGGTCCTCCAGGTGTTTTGGACTTCAACTCCCACAATTCCTAACATCTAGTAAGATGGCTGGGATTTCTGGGAGTTGGAGTCTAAAACAACTGGGAATCAAAGGGAAGCACTGAAGACTCTCCATGTAAGCCCAAAACATGAAAACACAAATTTTGTTCCATGGCTAAGACTTAGGCAATGTATGTATGGGCACATAAATAATTATCTGATGTAAAATGTGACATCCTGAGATGCTTAACTTTTTATTTATTTATTTATTTTAAAAAATAACTTGTTTCTTACATTCAAATTTAAAAATAGATGAGTAGAAGCCTATCTGCTAAAAGCAGAGAAACCAGAGTGGTAACAGCATTCACGTGGCCATACATTCAGTGTAGCACTTTGCTACTTTTATGTTGGTCACTACATAATAGATTTCCTGAGCAGAAGATGGTCTGCTTCTCCCGTTAAGAGGGAAAAGTGAAGCCATACTGCTCATCAGCTCAGTTCTATACTTCCTTTGTTATGGGGATGAGGCTGAACTGCAGGTGCATATAGCTTACAACTGCTACCTAGTTTACCATCAAAATCACGGAACCCTTTTAGTGTTCAAAAGTCTGAGAAGCAGATATTATTTCAGCAAATTTCTCAACAGAGGCAATTTTTGGAGCTTGGTTTGGCAAATGCCCCCCTCCACACATTCTGACATGACCATTATAATAGAAGCATAGATTCAAGACCCTGGGTCTCTTGTAAATCTAGTTTGGCCTCCAATAAGTCAAGCCAGCTGCTGGTCTTCCTGAAATAGGCAGCAGAATCCCAGATGTGGTTTGTCATGTAGTAGTACTTTTCATGAGAAGTTATGCTGAGATCCAGGCAATCTCCATCATGTAGGAATAATGCATAGTAAGAGGGTGGGAGTAAGAAAAGAATTGTATATGCAACTGGATTTGTGGAAGTGGGATCAATAGTTTCTCCCTCTATGGCAGACATGTGAACCTGGACTAGTTCTGAGTGCCTCTAGTTTCTCAAGACAAGGAGAGCTATTTATACTGATGTGGCAGACCAGAAGAATGTGCAAAGGATCAATACTATGTATGCCCAATGACTACAGTGGGTTGTTGTTGTTGTTTTTTTTAACTATTGCTTAGAGAGGGCAAGGGAATGGTACAGAAAACATTCAAATAGCTGCTGTTTACCTTGGACTCGGAAGTTTCCAACAGCAGGGATAGCAGTACAATGGTCTCATTCCCTATTTTCAAGACTGATGCTGAGCACTGCCCAAGAACCTCACAATCAGACTGGTAACAGGCCACTGACATGTTCTCTAGTTATACTGGTGGCTATTCAATATAGACCCCGTTCATTCCATCCATGTATAATTTCCCTTAAGATGGAGAAAGAAGAAATGTAGTCTTACTATTTTCTTTGGGCCTGCATCTTGCATGGAAGAAATACCCTGACGTTTCAGATACTCTTCTATCTTTTCTTCATCCATGGAATCCACAGGAACACTCCTCCACAGTTTTTGAAATTCTAGAAAGCAGCAATGGAGGGCTAATTAGAAGTGTCATTGGAGATATAAACAAACAGAGAGGACACTCCATATGCAGGAAGATTTACAGTCCTCCTGCACACAGGGGTGGACACCAACATAGCTTGCAGCATGAAAAACAAACACTGCTGAAATGACACAGATATTTCAAACGTTAATGGCATCAATGAAGAGGAATTCAAGGAAGGATGGCAGAGGAAGCTTTATATTACATCTGTGAGAATAGCAGTTCCTTTCAGAACAGACACCCAGCAACCTCAGCGTGTCCCCCCGCCCCAGCATATATTTTTAAATGCATTCTTTGATGTTTGCTGAATCTTCAGAGATAGTTGATAGACTACTCTATGTGGGGTTGCCTCTGAAGACAGCCTGGAAACTCCAGCTAGTCCAACGCTCGGTAGCCAGGCTGCTCACGGGAGTTGGTTCAAGGAGCATACAACTCCCTTGATACGCCAGCTCTACTGGCTAACTATTAGCTTCTGAGAACAATTCAAAGTGCTGGTTTTAATCTATAAAGCCCTAAACAGTTCCGGCCCGTTTACCTATCTGAACTTATCTCTCTACAAACCATCAAGGACCTTAAGATCGTCGAAGGCTTTCATGGCTGGAATCACTCAGTTCTTGTGGGTTTTTTCAGGCTATATGGCCATGTTCTAGAGGCATTTCTCCTGACGTTTCGCTTGCATCTATGGCAAGCATCCTCAGAGGTGAGGTCAGACCTCACCTCTGAGGATGCTTGCCATAGATGCAGGTGAAACGTCAGGAGAAATGCCTCTAGAACGTGGCCATATAGCCTGAAAAAACCCACAAGAACGGAGACCTTAAGATCATCCGGAGAGGCCCTGCTCTCGGTCCCACCGTCATCGCAGTCGCGTTTGGTGGGGATAAGAGACAGGGCCTTCTCCGTGATGGGCCCTCGGCTGTGGAAGTCCCTCCCTAATGAGGTTAGATCTGCCCGCTCCCTCCTGACCTTCTGGAAGAAACTTAAACCGTGGTTATGGGATCAAGCGTTAGCAGAATAGACTGTTTTTACTGATGAAGATTTTATTTGACCACAATTGGACTGATTTGGATGACTATTTTAACCTGATTTTAAATGTATATTTATAACTATTTTAATGTCTACCGCTGTATTTTATTATGTGTTTTACATTGTGTTGGAAGCTGTCCTGAGTCCCTCCTCAGAGGTCAAGAAGGACGGGGTATAAATGTTCTAAATAAATAAAATAAATAAATGTCAACCACATGTGCCATTTTAAAATCATCATACAGGCCAACATATGTGCCTCCCCTCCAACTATCTTCCTAGACAATTATTATAATTATTATAATTATAATAATAATTATTATTCCCCCCCCCCCCCCCCCCACAGCTCCCCGAAGAGACTCGGGGCGACTTACAGAGGGACAAGCCCAAGGATTACAAATAAAGCAGACACTGTAAAACAATAACAACAAATAATAAAAACATCAAAATCAATTAACATCATAAAAACAATACCCTGGCTGGCCAATTTGAAACTGGGTTTGGGCTCAGAGTAAGTGCAATGATTCCTTGGGAGAGCCAAGGAAAAGTGCAATAGTCAGAGGGCTGGGTTGCCAGGGTCAAGTGAAAGATGTGTGATTTGGGTTCATTCCTCTTGATACTCCCCAGGCGCTGCATGCCAGTGACATGGAGCAGAGGGGCAAAACATTAAAGCACAATGACCTCATCCGTGTCCTGTCACTTGCCACTGCCGGGAAAGATGTGTTGGCTGAAACTGTACATTCCCTATCATGTAATTACTACAAAAGGGTAATTCTGCTTCTCTTGGCTTCTTTAAAACATTCAAGAACTCCCAAGCCCTTCAGAACCAAAGTGCTGACTTGACCTCTTGGTTGCAGAAAATAAAGAAGCAGCCCAACTCTTCAAAAAGAAGAAATAAGTGAGATAACCTGCACGTCACCTGCCTCCATATATCCCTTTAAGTGTTTTCCCAGAAAGCCTTTATCAATGCCGTGGCTGGTACAATCCCACTTCCCTTCATTCCAGAGTCATTACAGCTAGATAGATCTGTCAACAGGCCAAGCTCGCAATCCATCAATAAAATCCTAAACACAGAGCCAGGGAAATTTCTTTAGGTATTCCCAGATATATCAAATATTCAAATAGTTGTGATGTACTTAGTAAATACTTTGTGCAGTTTGATGCTAACCATGCAAATATCCTGTGACATTCTCTCCTTGGATCTATTGTTTCCAATAGCACTATACACTGAAACCTAAATAAAATTCTCAGGGCAGATAATACCTATGGAAAAGTTATGCTCAATGGCCCTAACAATTATTTGGACATTTCTCCTCTAATCACATACATTCTAATGTTCAGTATGTTTTTACAAAATTAAAATGAGAGATATTTCAACACTATAAATAAATATCTCACATCTTGTCTGGCTGCGGCATTGAGGATCATCTGAAGTTTCAAAACAGCCCTATGAAGTACATTAAAAGCTAATGATAAAGGTCTCCCCTTGACATTAAGTCTATTTGTGTCAAACTCTGGGGGTGGTGCTCATCTCCATTTCTAAGCCAAAGAGCTGGCATTGTCCATAGATGCCTCCAAGGTCATGTGGCTGGCATAACTGCATAGAGCGCCGTTACCTTCCCCCCAAAGTGGAACCTACAGATCTACACACATTTGCATGTTTTGAACCGCTAGGTTGGCAGAAGTTGGGGCTAACAGCAGGAACTCATCCCACTCCCTGGATTTGAACCACCGATCTTTTGGTCAGCAAGTTCAGTAGGTCAGCAGTTTAACCTGCTGCACCACCAGGGGATCATTACAATGCATTGCAGGAATCAAAATGGAATATAATAAAAGGTATGTGCCACCTCTTTGAAATCTGACATGTTCAGGAATAGGTGTAGTTGGTACACTAGCCAACTGTGCAAACACACTCCTGGTCACCAGGGGAAACTTTGTGAATTCAGCATGCCAAAGTCGTAAATTTGAAATTTCAGGAGAAATTTACATTTCAGCACAAATGGAATCTGCCCTTTCACTGGCCAGAAGCATCTCTTTATGCTGCATGCATTAAGCTTGAACCTCACCCAATCTATAACTGACAGCAGCCACTCTTTTAGTACACAAACAGCTTCAATAGAAATGGATGAAAAGGGGAGCTAATCTTGAGCGCATACTGGTGACACTGAATGCCCAAACTGTGGAGAGCCTCTCCCAGTGGTTTCATTTATATGTTAAACAGCACGGAGGATGACACTAAGCCCCTGTGGTTCTCAACCACAGGGGCTTAGTGGTTCTCAACCTGTGGGTCCCTATATGTTTTGGCCTTCAACTCCCAGAAATCCTAACAGCTGGTAAACTGGCTGGGATTTCTGGGAGTTGTAGGCCAAAATACCTGGAGACCCACAGGTTGAGAAACACTGATAAGGACACCCCAGTAGTCAGGGTGTCCAACAGGCAGCTCCATAATCCCCTTCCCGGTTTGCCCCCTCCAGGAAGGGCACAGTAAACCCAAGTATTGTCTTGGAGAGGCATCTGAGAAGGATATCATCATCAATGGTACTGAAGCTTCTAAGGATTCTGGCTAAATCAACAGGGCCATATTCCTCCTGTCCAGATCATGATGTAGGCCATCCAGCAAAGCAACCAAAGCTGGCTGAACCACAGGATACGGTCTTATCTGCTGTTTTATTTAAAAGTTTCATGACTCAATTGGATGAAGTCATCTGCGATGTGCTGTCATCTGTATGCTGTCTGGTAATCACCAGGTCTTTTTTTCCCATCTCATTCAAAAACAGCAATAGCCCTAATCTAGGACATGAAGACTTCTTTTAGATGAACAAACTGAAACTTAACAAAGACAAAGCAGTACTACCACTGTCGATGCCACTGTTCATCTAGGGCAGTGATCCTCAACCTGTGGGTCTACAGATGTTTTGGCTTTCAACTCCCAGAAATCTTAACAGCTGGTAAACTGGCTGGGATTTCTGGGAGTTGTAGGCCAAAACACCTGGGGACCCACAGGTTGCGAAACACTGATCTAGGGATTGGTATACAACCTACTCTCAGTGGCACAATGCTTCCCTCAATGATTAAGATTAAAGATTAGGGAGTGTCTAGGATTGATCATAGTTCTATAGTGCCCCGGTGGCAATAACAATCATGCTCACTTTTATCAACTTTGATGCAGACTGCACCCGTGCTTGGAAAACAGACCTTGCCATGGTCAATTACAAACAATTGTATTAAATTACTGTCCAATGCCTAAGTAGAGTGGCTGTGAATAGCACCCAGAAACTACAATTAATTCAAAACTTCAATAATTTCCAATCTACTTTGAGGCATAATTTAAATCACTGCCACTTTAAAACACTCAAACAATTTGAGATCGTGCCATCTGGAACACTATATGAACCTACTTGGACACTCAGATCACATTAGCAGCACCTCTTTGTGCTTCCCTGCCATGTGAACTATTGAGAGTGGGACTTGAAGCAGGATCTTTATAGTATTGCATTTAAATTGTTTCTTGTCCTCTTGAGAAATGCCCGAATGGCGCTCATGCATCCTGTCCCTGCCACCTAGCCAAATAACTTTGTATAAATTGATAGTTTTAGTGTTGTCTTCAGCCTTCTGAATCTATGTTCAATCTTCGGAATCTGCTAGTATTTTAAAGTTGTTTTAAAGAACTAATTTTATGTCAGCTTCCTTGGAGATACCTAGAATGCAAAGTAGGTTAGAATTCAACCAACCCAACCACTCTTCCAGCACATGGATAAAAGTGTAACTAATCTGAATACGGGACACTTGAATGTGATGTTTGAATTGTATGAGTGCAAGAGAAAATCCAAGTGGATGGAGAAATATTGCAAGTAAACAGTTTTGGAAATTCTGGCAGATCTTATTTCAAAAACTAATTTTGGGCAAAGGGCACTGTGTTTCTTTGCAGACACAACCAAGTAAGGAGATACTGTA